TGAAATCATGTCTGTGATGGCGGCGACCTTAGCCAACGGCGGCATATGTCCCATCACCGACGAAAAAGTGCTTCGCCCCGACTCCGTCCGGAATGTGTTATCCCTTATGCACAGCTGTGGAATGTACGATTATTCGGGACAGTTCGCTTTCAAAGTGGGATTACCGGCGAAATCCGGGGTCTCTGGCGCTATGCTTATAGTCGTACCCAACGTTATGGGTATTTGTACTTGGTCTCCGCCCTTGGATCCATTAGGGAACAGCTGCAGAGGATTACAGTTTTGTGATGTAGGTATTCTGCCCGCTGTATTGTCTAATACTGAAACGATTTTGTATCAAAAATCTAGGCTACTTCGCAGATATACATAAATTAAATAAAAACTATTTAAACCCTCATTCCTCAAAGGATTTGATAAAACTCTATAAATATTGTTTAAAATAATATGTCAAAACTTGTGGCAATCATTTGTATTTTTTTAGTTAATTTATCTACGGAAGACTGCAGTCGTTTAGGATTTTGATTTAATACGACAATACAGTTTACCAAAAATTGGTTACCTAAAAATATATACTTAATACTGCTTAAGTTTGTAGGTACTCAGTCTACAATATGTGCATAATCTATTACAATGCATAGGTAATCAAACAAGGTAATTTCGACCATGTTTCTTCTCGCATCATTTGCCGCGTCCCCCCTCGATAATGTTGTTAAATTAATTGCAACTGTTTTTCCATATAAGACTTTATTTTCTGCCGTCTTCTCAATATGTTCGTACTGCGTCATACAAATAAATATGTCCTAATTTTGAATTGTTTGTTCCTATTTCAGGACTTGATTCGTAGGTTCAATTTCCACAAGTACGACAATATCAGATACGCTAGTCACAAGAAGGACCCGCGTCGTTACAAATTTGAGTCTACGGGTCTCAGCATCGTGAATCTACTATTCTCGGCCGCTAGTGGCGACCTCAGCGCTTTGAGGAGGTAAACTCACGTTCAAATTTTAAATTAAATTATGATTTATTAAAACACACACACACATATATATATATACATAAGTATTATGAAACCGTTTTTAGGAGTATGATAAAAGTGTGAAATCCAGTTCGGTGAAAGTCGGAAATTATGAAATATTTTGAATAATTCCTTTTCTTTATTTATGTACATGCATGTTACAAATTGCTAACCTGATTGAGAGTCTTCATATTCGAAATTTTTTTCAAAGAAGTAGCAACTTTATTAGTTAGGTAGTTTAAAAAGTATACACCTGAGAATAATAGTGATCTGACAAACAAGTAAAAATCAAGTGAATTTGTAAATTTCATAAAATTATAGATTTACGAGTAATATTTAATGTAGAAAAATTATAGCACCACCAATTATTATTATACACGTAGATAGAGGTTTTTTTTGTATAATGTACTTCTTGAAAACACTAGAAATAAGTATAGTGCTCAAGTTATTTTTTGATAAACATTCAATAAATACCTTGTTATTCAAAATAATTGAATTTTAAGCCCATATATACACAAATATAAAATGGATTTATTACCATTTTCATGGAATTATATACATATATATTTTATATTACAATAATGAGTTATTTCTGATATGTCTGTTATTTATCATCAGGGAGGATTCGAAAGATTCCTTTCTTCCAGTGCCCGTGACAACAAAATAAACTTTGGTATGATGGTCACAAATTTCAGCTTATGATAGTGACGCAAAAATTGTTCTGTACATAAGGCTATTTTATACGTATACTCAGGCTAATCAACTGTTGATTTGCAGTCACTATTTAGCCTAGAATACAGCTAATCTTACTTATATGATTTCATGAAATATTATCATACTTTTTTATAATGTTATGCACTTTATGCAAAAAATCACACACCACAGAATCCATCTTGTTGGAAACACTAGAATTAGTTGTATAGTAAACTGATGCTAAAAATATTAAGCTTAAAAGCTGTCAAATCGTCTCATTTTCATTAGATTTTTCTTGGGATACCTATAATCTATAATTCATCGTATAATTAGGTGAAAGATCCTTAAGCTACATTTTTTTGATTCCTAAGGATGGCCAATTGATTAAATATAAATTTAAAATACATATTTAAAAATGCGTATTTCTTTTTATCCATTTGTCTGAAGTGTAATTCAAAAATCTAAGTAAACCATATCATAAATTCAGTTTGCCGCTAATTAATTGCAGCTCCAATTCACATGTAGCTTAAGGAGTTCAAAAAAAGCCACATTACCAAAGCGATTACAAAATAGATTGCATAATAAAGTACGATTTATTAGGCACCATTTGTCCGGTATGGACATGACGCTGTCGGACTACGACGGGCGTACGGCACTGCATCTGGCGGCGGCGGAGGGGCATCTCGCGTGCGTGGACTTCCTGCTGTCCCAGTGCGGGGTACCTCACGATCCTCGCGACCGCTGGGGCAGCCGTCCTCTCAACGAGGCGGAGACCTTCGGGCACGCCACCGTCGTCCAGTACCTCAAGGAGTGGGAGCGGGCACATCCGCCGGACAAGCCGGCGATCGAGCAGACGCCATCGGCGGCCGACGAAATTCTCGAAGGGAACCCCGACGCCAACGACGCCGTCAAGGATCCCAGCATACAAGAAATCGTCAGCAGGAATGGGGATAAAGTGAAATAAGAACTTGTGTATAGGAAACGAATGTAATTAATCGATCTCATTGTTGTGAAATCTGATGTTAAAAGTAATCTCTATATGTTGTTCCCATAGCTGTTACATATAACAAATTATAAATGTTTATTAGTACAAAATTGATATTCAAAGAATAGTAATTTCTGATATTAATTAAACTTGAACTTTATTATTCAAATCAGTAACAATACAACAAATACATTCCAATTCATCAGCCGTATTCAAACGCAAGAAAGATTAACTTTATTAGCAATGTTCAGTGTAACTCTGTATCTACATGCAATTTTATAGTCAGTCATACAAGACGTCACGATTGTTTGTAAAATTTGGCCATGTTTTACGGTATATAATTTTGCTTCAATTCAATTGTTGGAGCTTCTTTTCTATTTTAATTACCATTACGATTAATATACTAAATAAGTGTATGGGTTCAAAAACCCGATTGACAATAATAACGATGTAAAAAAACCAAGACTTATCATCGTAGGGCATTATAATACATAGTATTTTTATGCTAAAAGTCAATAATCACTAGTAGATAGATATTGGTTATTTACTAGATAAAATTATGATGTGATGTGTGGGTACATAGTTCTAAGAACATGTTTTACTATGTCAATTAAATAAAATTGTAAAAATAATGAGATTGCTTTTATTTTTCTGTGAGGTATCTATAGACGGGTTCATACCATTTGACAAACCACGACGAAAGTTACAGACAAAACCAGTCAGCAGTCTACGATCAGGTAAAACAAAGATACCTAGTCAGCATACATCGCCGTACCAAAATCTCGACCTTCGAGTTTTGTCGTGTAGCCTCGTGATTAGCCGTAAATGTAATTTTTTTCTCTTTCTCAAGCCCAGCATACGTATGGTTTGTTATTCTGTACACGCGTGCAATATTACATTTTGCGGCGCACATTGTTTATTACGTGCCAGTGACGGACGGCTTAGTTAAATTGTTATGAATAACTGATTTTAATGCAACTGAAGAAAAATTAAAATATAATTAATAACTTATTGTGCGATAAGGTTTTATATAAGATGAACAATAATCATTTAAGAGAACCACTTAAAAATAAACTCAAAATTGAAACTATGTTTATTTCATAAGTTATAATATAACACTAGAAATACCTCATCACATGATTTTAGAATTAACCTCTCGTACAGAAGACAGTTTTTCCTCAAGAAGAACGAGTAAAAACTTGATTCTAACTTGTATACAATTTATATAAAAATAACGAAAATTCAATTACACACAATATACAAAGCAGTTAATGTCTATGGGCATTTATCCCTAAAATATATAGAAATTGTATAATACCCTTTCTATAAAGAGTTTGTTTGACAACCTTTTAATTTATACAATTTATACCTTTTAATTTTATATGTGTAAATATACCGCATTGACCGTGCACATGCAGCACTTTAAATGAATTGGTGACTTTTAAGTGCAGGCTCTGTATTCGAAAATGGGGGTAGGTATCACAGATTTTATTTTTATTCTGTTAAGAAATAGGTTATTTGCAGTAGATCACGTCTTTTGGATTATACTCTTTAAGAGTCGAATTTTAGAGTTCTGAGCCAAAATGGCAAAAACGGAACCCTTATAATTTCGTCATGTCCGTCCGTATGTCACAGGCATTTGATTTAAAAATTACAAGACATGTATTGACGAAATTTATAGTATAGGTGTCTTATGTAAGCCGTTACTTAGTTTTGTGGTTAAATAACAAAAATAAACATTTCATGACTCCATACATGTAACAGGAGCTGAAAAAAAATTTTGTTTCAGCAAACATCAACGTGCGGCACATATTTCGACAGTTCTTTCAAAAACGCTTTAAAGTTTAAAAATGCTTTATAAAATTTTCTGATTACGTGAATTATTTGGGAAATAATTGCTCCAAAACTTGAAGAAATTATGTCCCCCCTTTTATTTTCTAAACCATAAATCCAAAAAAATATTTAAAAAATAGCGAAGGTAACGCTTAATAAATACTTTCAACGAAAATTATTTTAGACATGGTCAGATACTGTTTTTGAGTTATACCGAAAAACTATGCTTCTCAACAAAAGGACATAAGTGCCATGAAGATACACTCTTTTAACATTTTAGTTTACATTAGTTTAATAGTAAAAGTCGATACACCTACTTGTTTTTCAAATGATAGGTGACTAAAGCATTTATACCAATTCTGTGCAGTAAACATGGAAAAAATGTCACAACGTTCTTTTTTCGTCTGTAATGCCTTTCTTCGAATAATGAGTATGGTTCGACATGCTTTTGACTAGTTTTTTGACACTACCTTCGATGGTAGCGTGGCCCAGCGGTTTAAGGCGCTAGTTCAAGATACCAGTTTTTTCGGAGGCGTGAGTCGAATCCCACCGCTGCCAGACTTTTTTTCTCTTAACTTCATAAATTTTTTTCAATAATTTTTAACATTTTTTGTATTTTTCGAATAAATATCGGAACAAAACTAAGTATTCACTCATGAAAGGTAATCCCACACGCATTTAAGTTTATCCTGTTCTAAAATCTTTTATAATGCATTTTTTAGAGGCATTTCAATCTAAAGATCGCCTATTTCTACAAATTTGCACCTGAGACTACACTTGAAAAATAAGATCGACCAATAGTGTATTCATGTCAGTTTAGTTTCATAAACAGAAATAAATAGATACACTGAATTTTGTCAATGAGTAGGGAACTCGTAGTTTTGCAATAGTACAAAAAATGTACTACAGTTTATGTTATACGTTCTCGAACTCTTCATTGGCCACCATACAAAATTGCATATTTCTAAACATCAAAACACATTATCTAGTGCACATCAGATAGACGATTTCCGATATGCAATCAGTATACCTTCCGGTGATAAAAACTGTTTTCCTTTGAGTTTTTTACTTTGGGAACAAAATCGCATTGTGACGAATCGGGTAAATTCGAGTTTTCCCACTTCCTTCTTCGGCCGCTGAATTGAACGAATTAAGCACGGTCGAGTAGATCGCGCTGCATTCGTCGAAACATCGGTAGATTTTCGTAATAATAGAGCTTTTATCGTTGAACGTCAGTCGAAGTCTTTCAAATGATTACCCGATTTTAGTCAGAATCGACCTTTGAAATGACACAAAATTAAAGTGCAAAAATGTTCTCGTCGAAAATTCATTCTTCATTGTGTACCTCAGAGTAAAGATAGCATAGAGGAAGCGATATAATAGCAGAAAATTGCAAATCCGTTTGATTCCTTTTTCTTATGACGTCTGTAATGACACAAGAAGTGAAGTAATATCATTGACGAGCACGCCCTTAACTGTGGTTATACACTTTTTATGTTTATAAAAATCTAATGATGTACTTACCAAAAATATTATTGACAATTTTTGCAGTGCTTTTACTATGAATTCATATGAAATTCTTTAACTTTTTAGGTAATGTTTCTGTTTATGGAATCAATCCAAGATTAATACGAACAAAGTTTATGTATAATAAATGTCTGCGTGTTTGCTCGGGCTTATCTCTGAAAAGGCGGAATGCATGATCAAAGAATATTGCTTTGTTCCCATGTTATTCGCCTAAGTACCAAAAGTGACGAAAAATTATAGTCTCCTACATTCCAAATAATTATCATTTACCCCTAAATTCCAATTAGAGTAATAAACACTTAATAATTTAGTTATTATCAAAAAATTATAAGAGTTTTGTGGTCACGTACGGATTAAATTTTTTTTAGAAGTTAATCTATGTATAATTAATCATAACATTAATAACACATACATAATTATTCATTAAGCAATTATCTTAATTATACTCATTTTAAAACATAAGTATCACGTTTTTAAATATTCTCGGAATTTCTATACATTTATATGTCTAAAGATTGCCGTAATATACCACAGCATTTCATATCTGTTCGTTCGTCTGCTTCGCTCTCGAAAGTTAGAGATGTCCCTTGCAGAGAAGTAGACTATCTTCTAGAATACGAAACAGTTTTTATCCAAAAAAAAAGTATAAAATCCGAAAAATCGCAACAATATCTAAGGAAGGATCAAGATCAGTATTTGAGTAAGATTCCTGGGCTCGAGACATAAATTGTTTTCTGAAGGTCAAAATTTGAGGCATTTTGTACTTAGTGTATGCACTGTAAACGCCTGCTTAAATGTTGACTGGATGGCCAATTTCCAGGTACCAGGTGAGAAAGATGTGTAAAAACAGGATTCACTTCACTTATATTCTGATGGCTGATTTTTATATATATTGTTGAAATACATTGAAAAAAGATTTTCAACATTGCCAGACGCTTCCCGCCGGCCATAACTTTCGCTAGACGTTTTAAAGCTACCAAAAACTAATTTAATTTTACCTACATTCTGAAACTTGATCTTCATATAATGTTACCTAAGGGATAATTTAAAAACTACCTATATCTGATCAGCCAGACAAATTGTAAGGGCCAAACATCACCTCACAAAAAAAAAACACTTAGTCATCGCGAGGGTATTAGTTAAAATACTTACCGATTTTGATATAATTTATTTACGATATATATTTGAGGAATTAGAATATTTTTTGAAGTAATCAATTCTGTCCAATAAAATTGTACTAATTAATTGTGACAAGTTTAGAAAATAACAAATATATTATGGTTTTTTCTTATAAAAAATATTGTAATATTTTATAATTGGCACAGCTACTACATTCTTACAGACTCAATATTATACGTTACGTGCGAAGTGTTTGCTGGAGAAAGTACATTCAAGCGTTCGCGGTAGAAGAAATAGGAAGATTATCTTATTGGATAAATTTTGTGTGGAACTTCAGTACAATTACCAATGGTTAGATAAAATGGTTAATATAAGATACAGTTTGTTTCAGTATAAGTTTTGCAAATTATTGATGTACATATAAATTAAACATCATTAGGATCTTTCCCTACATCCTAAAAGCAAATTATGATTTTGTACAAAATATAGGAATTTGCTGGTTTTTTATTAAGAAGAACTATTTAAACATATTTGTAAAATTTAAAAGTAATTATTATAATTGACAACATGTTACAGACCACCAAAAAGTTACTCTTGTATTCCTACAGACATTTTCATATTTTTGAAACTTACGTATTCAATAATATTTTGTATCAGTTCTGACTGAAAGTTGTACCCAGGTTAGTCTTTCAGTACCAGGGGGTTCTACATGTGCAAATTGCACTCTAATACAAAACATCTTGATGTTCTTGGGGATCTGATAGGTAGTTTATTGTATATCGTGAACACCATGGAAAGCACGACAAATTGTTAAAAACCAAAACCACCAACTGGAAAATACTCTCGATTGCAATATTTACACATATGACCAAATTAAATACAACAGCAACATAAACTGTGACTAGTAGAACATAACTTTTTAATTTAACTGTGTACTAAACAAGTCCAAGAAGTCCATTTGACATTTTTAAGTGTAAATGCTGATTTAGAGTCATGTATCAGTCGTTGACATGTGAATGATAACTATTTAAATAGACAAATATAAGTGAGGCAGTTTCGCAGAGGGTAATAGAAGCGTACGTCGGCCATCCATGCGTGTAGTTTTTGCTGGCATTTTTAATTTATTTTAGTTCATTGTGTAAAATGAAGAAGGGACTATATCACAAATATAATAGAAAGTGATTTTTAATTTTTTTGTCTGGCTGTTCACGCACATTTCTGAAATCACTCAACGATTTTAAAGTACATAATTTTCACAGGTAGATTGAGTTTGACTTGGAGCAGAACATAGACTATATAAATTTAATAGGAAATCAGGCTAAAACTTGCTCTTGTTTAATAGTCTAGCCTGAAAAATTATAATTAATAATTACTAGCATTCAAGGCCTATAGATGTCACAAAAAGATACAAAAACCTACACTTGAGTCTTGACCTTTTAGACTTATTAAAGAATATAAAAGAGTAGGGAAGGAGGGAAGAGGAAGTTGACCACCAAATGAGGGAAGAGGTTGAGATGCGATGAAAACTTTTATATTAGACGAGATTGTACTATGTGATATGATTAATATGGGAGCAGTTAACTCATAATTTTTACATATTATGCACTAAATATATATTTTGTATTTAATATATATTGTTAAAAAAGTATATATGCAATTTTCAGAGAAAAGTTATCATATTCCTATTGCAAACTCAAAAGACACTAAGTAAAGCTCTATTGCTCAGATACTGATATTAAAACCAGCCACTTAAAATCAGTACGTCTGAAGTGTTTTGAAAAGAACTTGATACATGCAAAATAAAAAACTGCTTGTTTTCTCCACATATTTTTTGTTGTGAAATGTAACAAATGATTTCATATAACTCAAAAGAAGGCACTTCAAGCCCAAAAAAAGATATAAATTATTTGACTGCATATATATGTTTGAGTACTCAAAAGAGTGAAATATAAATATAATGAATGAAAGGTATTTATTTTGTTGCAAACACTAGGCTTCCTTTTCATTTTATATATATAAATATGAATGTGTCATGGATGCATGTAACATCTCTACCATGCAGTTGTGAGATGGATCTCAGTAAAATTTGGAGGCCCATAATATGGCATAAAAACCAAACAATCGAAACAAAGGCGGATTTAGTAGACTTATTACTTTACCACATGTGTGATTTTTTGTGATATGCAAATGATAATTTCAAGCGATTGTTGTAAATTACAAGACAAGTGTTATTAAGGCCCTAAAATGTGCTTTAGGTTCAACTTCTTTAGTTATTGAGCTGAGTAGACTTTTCATTTTATTTTAACATCAGTATTTATAAAGAAAAATTAAGAGTGAGACAATATCAAGTTCAAGATTGGATTGACATAAAATATATATAAATTTAATTAACTGTTCACATACATGGCTACATACAAAAATTAATATCTGTTATACATATGTGTAACTTAGGATCATATTAAAAACCATTATAAAATAATATTTCTAAGTTTATTAACATTTATTTATACTTTATCTAATTAGTTTCCATTGCTTGTTTCTCTGGTGAAGAAATTAAACCTAATAATTTGCAATCGGCTTCAAGTAGAGTGAGATCTGTACTAGACCCGAGAAAACGTGAAGATAATTCAAGATCTTTAATCTGTAGCCGGACTCTTGCACCTCTTACATATTCTTCGCCTCTTGTAGTTGGCCGTTGACATACACAATGAAACTTCCACCCAAAATCAATATAAAGGTCATCTTGAACAATGTGAAAAATTTTTCCAATAACTATTTTATTTTCTGGATCACCAAGCTTGAAAAAAATAGAATTGAATTAAAATTCCTCTTTATATAAACACTTATACTATAAAATTGGTCTATCTTGTGAAGGCAGCCCCAGATCTAGAGGGGGACAAAACAGGACACCC